TTCAACAGATGATAATATCTAAAATCTATAAAACTTAGTACAACGAGTGTATGAACTAGTGGGATGATTTTTCTCTATGATAACTTATGTCAAGCTAGAGGAAATATCTAATAAAAAGGTAAGAGCCTTACGACTCAAATATAAAGAAGTATATGTTATGCCAAAGACCTTACGTCCAATAAGGAGATTTGATCGTAAAATGCATTGATACCAACTATCAAGCCAATGAATATCCGACCTTACAGGAGTTCATATGTACACAAGAAGGATATTGAAACAATGGTTAAAAGAATGCTACAAAATGGAGTTATACGACCTAGTTGTAGTCCATTTGCATCTTTAGTATTGTTGTTCAAAAAAAAGATGAGACTTAGGGGTTTTATGTGGATTATTGACAACTCAACAATATCACCATCAAGAAAAGTTCCCCATACTTTTGATTGATGATCTTCTAAATAAGTTACAATGTTCCTACTTCTTCTTCAAAATTGATTTGAAGTTAGGATACCATTAAGTGAGGACAAATGAGATAGATGTAGAAAAATAGCCTTCATAACTTATCAAGGGCATTATGAGCTTAGAGTGGTACCTTTTGGGTTGAATAATGCTTTAGCAACCTTCCGTACTATGATGAATTAAGTTTTGGAGCCCTATTTAAGATGTTTTGGTAGTCTTCGATGACATTCTAGTTTACTGACTTTACATTGGAGTCACACATATAATATCTTGCGAGAGTATTAGATGTTTTATTATGAAATAGACTCGTATGTTAAGAGGTTTAAGTGTTCATTCCGTCAGCTTAAAGCAAAATATCTTAACTATATCATTTCTAGAGTCGAGGTAGATGATGACTCTAAAAAGACGAAGCCATTAGTAGTTGCTAAATTCCTAAGTCTATGATAGAATTAAGGGGTTTCTAGAATTAGTCGGGTATTATAGAAAGTTCATTAGGAAACATGGTGTGGTTAGTAAGCCTTTAACTACATTGTTAAAAAAAAGAATGGCTTCAGTGGAACGAATAAACTCAACAAGCCTTTGAGCAATTGAAGACTATGTTGTGTAATGTCATATGCTAGCCTTACTTAATTTTCACAAACCATTTATGTTGTAAACAAAAGCTTATGAAGGTGTCGTAGAGGGTTGTTTTATCTCGAGAAGAGTGCACTTTAGCTTTTTAAGGCATCGTGTCCCAAACATCAAAGTATGTCGATATATGAAAAAGAGTACTTGGCATTTCGATGGTAGTAGATAAATGAAGGCATTATTTTAAAGTCGATAGCTTTGTTATTAAGATTGACCATGAATTGTTAAATATCTTCTAAAATAGCCAATGCATACATTAATTCGAGTGTAAAGGACTTACTAAACTCTTAGGATTGAAATTTGAGATCCAATATAAAAGAGAGAAGGATAATATAGTGGCGGATGCATTGTTATAAGAGTGGAAAGTTCAACTATACAATCTAAAAAAGGTATTTATGCTATCATTACTATGGTACCAAGATATCATAGCTTCATATGAAAAAGATATAAGAACATAAGATGTTATTACAACTACATTTTATGTGACGAAGGCTTTCCACAGTTTAGTTATCATAAAAGACTAATGAGGTACAAACAAGACAAGGTATACATTAGGAAGAATCAAGAACTTATGAAGAAATTACTTCCGGTTGCTCGTAGCTCGTCTATAGGAGGTCATGTATGGGTTCAAAATTCATATAGGAAGCTTAAAGGTGGTTTCTACTAACTAACCATGCAATTCATGGTGAAAGATGTGGTAGAGGAATGTGAAGTTTGTAAAAAAACTAAGTAAAAAACGGTAGCATAACTAAAACTTTATAGCCTTTACTTATATCAAAAAGGGCATGAAAGGATATATCCATGTACTTTACGAAAAGACTACCCAAGTTTAAAGGAAAAGATACTATTTTGGTGGTAGTGGACATATTTGCCAAGTATAGGTATTTTTTAGCTTCGTCTCATCTTAAGAATATTGTAAAGAACTTCTGGGCTACATCTACAAATGTCATGGATTGCCGACCTCTATTGTCATCGATAAAGATAAGGTATTCACATGCATCTTTTAGAAAGAGCTATTTCGATCATTAAGAGTTAAACTCTTCATGAGTTTAGCCTATCATCCGTAAACGAGATGGCTAAATAGAAAGATTGAACCATCGCTTGGAAACATACTTATGATGTATGTGTATGGACCGCCCAAAAAATGGAATCCTTGGTTGTATCTAGCTCAATAGTAGTATAATACTAGCTTCCATTCCATCATCTAGATGACCCAATTTCAAGCCTTATTTGGATACCCATCTATTACTAGAGAATTAGCTACTCGAGGCACTTCCATAACTCGCTACGATCACTAAATGGATATAGAAAAAAGAGCTATGGACTTATTCATAATAACTCGGTTAGGAAAGACTAACATTCATATGAAGCAAATTGCAGATTGTAAAAGAATTAAATAGGAATTTGCTATGGGAGACAACGTAGATCCGAAACTTCAACCCTTCGGGCATGTTAGTGTAGCTCTATGCAAGAAATTCAAATTGAACCCCAAGTACTTTGGTCCCTATTCCATCTTACGGAGGATTGGCTAGGTTGCATATAAGTTGGAATTGGCAAGGGATAAGCTTATACATCCAATATTTCATGTTTCTTTGTTAAAGAAAAGTGTATGAGACTTAGTCATGGTCTATACCACACTTTCACCCATCGATATGAGGGGCCATGTAAATCTTTCTCCTACTACACTCGCTAGACGTGAAAAATTATGAAGAAAGGTAACAAAGTTAGTAGTTATAGGGTTAGGAGAAGACGCTACGTGAGAGGTCTTCGAGGACAAAGAGAATCGGTTTCTAAATGTTTGCTTCAATCATTAAAGATGAGGATCTTTAAAAAAGAGGGCACTCGTTACAAATTATGGGTTATGATAGGGTTATAACTCTATTAATATAATTATTGTTGTTAGGGTTTTAGTTAAGAGTTAATGAGAAGTGCCGATATGGTATTTAGTTAGAATAACTAGTAATTTATGTACCCGAGTGGATGAGCTGGCATTATCGTTAGTTCTAAAATTAGTTAGTAGCAAATATATAGTGAAGAAAAACATGAGAAGGATTTATCCGGAGAAAGAAAAGAAATCAAATTGGAATTTTCCTCTCAATCTCCTTTTTTTTTTCTTATTCTTCACTTCTTTCTCTAGAATCTTCTTTGTTAAGGAAAAACCCTTAACAAAGCTCCCTCATAAAACTCTTTTTGTTAAAAGGGTTAGAAATCGAGCAAGTTTCGCCAATCACCATATAAGCCATCGGTCACCTCCCACAAGGCATAATCTACCGATCACGACCCATTTCGTTCATTTTCATTCAAAGTAAGACAAACTAATTTGTATTTTATGCACAATAATATTTGTAACCAACAATACAGATATGAGGGGCAAATTGTTTTTCAAAAATTCAAAGGTATATTGGTCTTGAAACCTTTTCATATAGTTAATTTCAAAACCATTTTCAAAATTTGAATATTACATAAAAAAAAATCCATAACAGATGACAATCGACTAATGTTATATAGGATGCTTGAATGGATAGCTATAAATCTAGCCCTATGGCAGATTTTAAGCAAAATGCCTTTGCTTCTTATCCTTAGACACTCAAGAAGTTGTTGTTAAATTGATAGCGAGTTCAGCATTGCATGCTTCGAAATTCTCGTTCAACATTTATTCGGGACCGACTTGATTTTTCTTAACATAATTAACCAACCTCACATTCAATTCAATTCAATTCAATTCAATCACTTACTTTCCGGCTAGGAAAATCTAATAGTTTAGAAGATTCCGTGAATCTTTGTTGTTGTATTGCTGTATTGTATTGTATTATGTGGTTTCAATTTTTCATTTATGATACTTAATGGTTTAATAATATAGTGATGAATATTCCTCATGCTTCAGTGTTTGATTTTCATTGACACAAAGTCACTCTAAACAATAGATATTAGTGCAAGATTTTTAAGATTTCCGCTTACCAATACCATTGGCAATGCCAATTACGAGGGATATGGAAATGGATCACTGGAAATAAATGACTTAAGTTTTTAAATAAAAGAGATCAATTTATAATCAGATTAAAAAAAAAAAAAAAGAGTAAGAGAAGTTTTTTCTTTTACATTTTTTAAAAGTCCTAGTCATGAAGCATTTTTCATTTAAAAATCTTTCCACGAAATTTTCTTTTACACAGAAGGTCTTATCTATAAATACATTGAAATAATAGGCATAAAAGATTTGGCCCAAATATTTGAAAACCTGGGTTATAAATTCTTGACTTTTTTTTATAGGCAAGGCCGCAAGGGAAGCAGGTAAGATGGGCAATGGCCCAACCTGCTCGGTTCAAAATGAAAAACCTGTGGCCAGAGGCCCGGATCACATTAAAAAATGCACAAAAAAACAAAAAAAGAATCGGTTAAACTGAAGAAAATTAAGATTCAATTTGGTTCAGTTTTTGTTTCTGATAATTCAGTTAATTGAAAAACCATAAAACCGAATTTCAATTTGATTCCGCTTTTATTTCTGGTAATTCAATTAACTGAAAACTGAACCAAACTTGTTGGAAATCAACCTAAAAAACGGTTTGCTCCTTTTAATGAGCCCAAAGGGAGTCGCGGAAAGTTAGGCTGGGCTTGATTCATCTGCCTCTATACAGGCTATTTTTCAATTGTTGTATTTTCAAACTTGTCACACCTTAGGACGACCCACAAAGGCAAGAAGTAAGTGGATGGACCAAAATAGTATATTTGACTACAAAAATTTCCTGAAATATTGCGCAAACGAAAACTTAATTATAGAATGGCAGGATGTACCAAAATTTCCTGTAACGTCACTTAGATAATATTCATACACAATTAACAGCAAACATAGAACATATGAATGAAATCTACTCCACCATCACTTTAAGAAGAAATTAAAGCAAACCATTCAAGGACTGGAATTAGGTCCTCCTCCGGGCCATGGACGTAGGATTTCCATCAAACAATTCGTCGATCAAATTCTCAATATCTTCAGGTTGGTACTTTATATACTTCTCTGTTTGTCTACCATGTGCCAAATACTGTTGGAACCTCCCCACAAAAGAACGGTAAGCCGGGGTCACCACTGCCGATACCGAAATCCGAAGCTCAGACTGAAGCTGCTCGTCACTCACCACCCATGTGCTTTGTGTCTTATGTATCTCATCAAACATGCTGGTGAACATCTTGAACCTCTCTTTCAATATAGTCTTGGACACTTTCCCATTTACCAGCAAACCATCATGGTTTAGACACTGCAACAATCTGGTCCACGTCTCTCTTGTATACGCCTTGTGGTACTGCCTCAGATCGGATGATCGCTTTCGACACCAAGTGTCTCCCATCATATCATGAATTTCCTCGGAACCTTTTATCTTTTGCAGAATGTATCTCCCATTATTCATCATGAATATACACCTCAATGCAGGATCCCTGTAGAGCTTTGATTTCATGTCAAGATTCTCATCCAACAAATCCATAACCGAATTCAACTGTACTGAAAATGGTGAGGTCTTGGGAGTCCCATCATCGTTGGCTCCATTCTTGATATCCAATCCAGGCCCATTTGACTCGCCAAATCCTTCCATTTTCCGGTGCTGCTGAAACACTTCCTCCAATGTTTCTCTGTACTCGCAGGTGTATTTTAGATAATTCATGGTGTACCGGGTCAAGGGGTGAACTGCACCACTTGGGACCGGAGTCCTGCCATTGTCTCTCCTTATTGAATTTTCCAAATCACAGAAGATGCTCACAGCCACTTCTCCAAGCCGACCTTTTGCAGCCCAGATTTCAGATTTTAATTCTTCAAAGCATTCACTTGAACAATAATCATCATCAAACAGAGGAAATAAGTCGCGCAGTGCCTCATACATGTCCAAAATTTTGAATAATTTCTCAGCTGATCGTTTTGTTAATGCGATTGCGTCTGCAAAATTGAGAAACCTTACAGCAACTGCTAATGCAGTATGGCTGAATAATCTCTGAGATATTAATGGATACTCAGAAAATATGGAGCTGCAAACCTTCCGCTCGCCTGAGAGGAGAACTGAGGAAGAATGCTTGATTGCAGTGATCCACGTAGCGATTACTCCTTCCAGTGATTGCCATTGCATCCTCTGTACGTCTTCGGTGCTAATATTTTCAAAACCGAGCTTGTCCAATTCGCTAGAGAATGCATTTCTCCTTGCCATGTTGTAAGCCATGCAACACTCACTCTCATAGCCTGATGAGATCATTGCTTTGGCGATTCTGTTCATGTTCGATATTGCTTCTGGTGCATATGCAGGGAATTCCATGCCTTCGCTTGATTTGGATTCTGGTACAACACAGTGATCAGATTCCTGACGGGAACCGCATGATGATTGTTGTGATCGCTTTGGAGATTTCAGATCTGCATTGTTACCCTGATTGCAACTTTCAAGAATTGAACGGAACTCGCTGTCTAATAAGGACATGGCTAGATGCAGGATGGTGCTGGCTCGGTTGAAGCAGGAGGCTGTTGTGGAATTAGAAGGGAATTCGCCAAGAACATCTATCAACTTTGAAATGCAATTCAAAGATTCAATGAATGATGAGTCTTCTTTTTTATTTTGGCCAAACTTTGCCTTGGAATCATATTTGTTGATCATTTCCAACAATGATTCCACGGAGTTTGGAACATCTAGTGGGTTGTTAGATGCATCACTTGTCGTGGATAATGATTCAAGAAATCGATCAACGTCTTCCCGAACTTGATGCAGGCTTAATTCTGGAGCAGAAGTAGGCTCTTCAAGCTTTGAATTATGCTCAAACTCCCCTGGTTGCTGACAATCTAATTTCACATTGACCGCCTTTGATTCAGGTCCTGTAGGACCAGAATTGTCATCCATTTGATTGCCATTGCCATTTCTTGAAAAGCTACCGGATTTCTCTGGTGGGGGTTTCTCCATGAGGCCTAATTTGGCTATTTAGGTGGTTGCTATTCCCCTTTTCTTTTTTTTTCTTTTTTATTTAACAGAGAAGATGCAGAGAAAGGGAATAGACATGAAGAATGATAGCAGCATAAACTAATGAAAAACCATTGTACATTGATGATTCTGTTTTTGTCTTTCCCTGTCTTGCTAAATTTTGCTTGGACGTGAAATTGGGAGTGGAGGGTGAAGGGATCTCGGTGGAAAATGGGGCAAAGAGAATTGAGGTGTGCAAGGATGTTTAGTTTTTGAGGTTTTGACCGTTAATTTTATGGCTCGTCATTAACCGTTGACCACCCGTTTGTGAAGGTCGTGCTCTCCACTTTTTGTCCAAGTTGTGTGTTCTGTCGACATGTTGCCATACAAATATGTTTTCAGGATCGTGTGAAACCAAACCGCCTCGTCGTGTGTCTTATATATATATATATATATTAAAAAAAAAAAAAATTGAGTACGATCCAAAGGGTGTATTGAGATGACAAGGAAATAGGACGGTGCAAGAATATGTTTATATTTTATAATTCTGATAATAAATTGAGCTCTTATATTATGATCTTCTGAGTTTTCTGTTTTGTTTTGTTGGCTGTGCTACCTTGCGATGAAACTGTATGTTGATTCCATTGATGGCCCAACCGGTCCAGTTAGGGGTTCCGGTTTTACTTCGAAACCTAATAACCAAAAATTGACCAGTTTAACTTGCCTCGTGTCATGACACGGTCACATCTCATATGTGCGTTACTGCGTGTCTAAGCGAAAATGGGCTGGGTCACATCCCATAAATACTATTTTTGCTCTTGCGGATGCATTAATGTCCACAGGTCTAAATGGAACATTTCTAAATTTATTGGATCTAAAATGTGCAATATTGTTTCTTCTTCTCTTGGTGAAACAATAAGGAGTATTTGCGTAAGTGGGACTCTCTTTTACGTTTCCTTCTCCCTATTCCCTATATATATATATATATATATATTCTCTGTACACCGAAGGGAAGCAACCTAGAATATACTAGAATAAATTATAAATTAGTAACTCTCGTTTTGATAAACGAATTAATTAGTCTTTATCATTTTAAAAATTAATCATTTAGTTTTTATTTTTAAATCTGCTTATAATTTATTTATTTTTTTACTCCTTTTTAATTTATTTTATTTTTTAAAGAAATAAAAAGAAAATATTGATAAAAAATATTTTATAAAATAAAAATAATATTAAATTAATCTGAATAAAAAAATTAAATAATAATTTTTAAAACGAGAGACTAATTAATTTCTTTATTGAAACTAGAGGGACTAATTTATAACTTACTCGAATATACTCGTGCTCAAGCCAAAAGCCCATACAGAGTTGTCTTACGAGTCAAAATTCTGGAATGGGTTGGAAGTTACAGAAAACAGTATTAGGCCCTAAGATAAGGCTTCTAATGTTTAAAAGCCCAAAGCCAACATTTAATCTCATGATTTCCTAATGCACGGTCCATGTTCCTTCCCTGACTCCTCTTCAGACATTTTCCAGCGTAAACTACAAAATTAGCACAATTTTTTGAGGATAGAAAGCGGATTTGTTGTCAAAAAATTGCGTTGTCGATGAAGTTAAGAGGATAATTTGCTCTTGAAGAGGTAAAGTCACAGGGACTGAAGCAAAGGGGTGAGAGAACCTTTCGGAATCAATACTTTCTCATTGATATGTACTTGACTTTATCATATCCTGGGCTACATTTGAGCAAGACCGAACTATATATTAGTATTAATAGTGGCAACTCCATCTTGAATTGGGTGGAAACATTATGAATCCTTAAGCAATTAAACAAGTGTTCAATGTTGTCTTCAAGAACGCAACTAAACACATTTATTACCTCCCTGCTTTTGCAAATTATGTTCACCCATCATCAATTCGTCACCATGCCAGTGGAAACAACATCAACCTAAAATCCACCATCCTTGGCGGCTAGCGCAGCGTGGTACATTTATATATATATATATATATAGTTTTCGTATATGAATTTGGGTTGATAGGTGAAGATCCAAGACATAAAACTTGTAGAGAACAAAAAAAAACTGTAAGAGGAGTCATTCATAATTGTTTTATTGTCAAAACTCTTATGTTAAATTAAAAAAATTATCTTATTTTAAAAGTTTAAATTAAAATGTGAAATCGTAAAATATTATTTATATTATTTTTTAATAATTGAGACTAATTCCATTTTTCTTTTTCATCAAATTAAAAATAAACCATTCACGCCAAAATTAAACAATTCATAAGAAGATTTACTTTTCTGGGTATGATCTAAAGTTAAAATCTTAATAAGTAAAGAGAGAATGCATTTATTAATTAATTATCAAGTCAACTTCTTATAAAATATCAACAATCTAACGGACACTTCTTGGTAGTTCAATCAGCTGAAATGACAGGAAGAAGAAAAATCAGCGGAGTCAATCAACAAGTCCAAGTTTCTTGCAGACAAAGAGCAACACAAGAAATCAAGTGGTTTTAGTCTTCGAGCTCAATTAGTAGAGATGATGATGCGTTTGAAATCAAAGTGTGAAATTATGAAAAATATCGATATCTTTGAGCTGCCTTTATTTCTTGCGTGTGTTTTAGTTTGGGAAAAAAAACATATATAACTAGTGGAATTTAAAGTATATTTATTTCTGGTGCAGATCAATTGATGTGCCACCGTCGAATGAGGAGCGGAGGGTGGGGCTGCATACGTCACACAACATGCCAAGAGAATTGGCAATGGTGGTGCTTTTGCCTATGCTTCTTGGACTCTTTCTTTATTTGGTGCTGAGCTGTGAGATTTGCGATCTCATGGTGCCCTTAGCAACGGCCATGTGTTCTGCACTTTGACTTTAAGTTCACTGGTCCATTCATAACCACCACTAGTTTGGCTTTCGCTGGCTTTACCATGTCTAAAAAGGTTGTGCACTGTATTAGCGCCCTCGCTACCTTTCTGCTTCCCACTCTTTCTTTCTAAGAAATTTAGGTTGATGGTAATATTATTCTTTGCTTGCGTTCTATATAGGTACGTTTTATGTCATCAAAAGCGTTAAAATTAAAAAATTGCCGATATGTCGCTCATTTCTATCTTAATGGTGGCGGAAATTACGTGGTTCAAAAACATTCCGACATGTTCTAACCTCATAGTATCTATCAGAAAGGGCAGATTGATCCTTTAATTAACCCTATCGGTTTCTGTGAAATAAAATTAAGGAATAATTATAGAGTATCGCTGATCTTTTTTTTTTTTTTAATCCAATTCATCCACCCAAAATGTCAAATCATGTGGAAAATTTATTGAAAAGATTGGCATTATTCGATATTCAATTTCTTTTGGAGGCAATATAAAAAATTTCCATGTGCTTTGGTTAATTTTCACTCGCTATCGATTTTTAAACAATATAATATCCTTTTTTTTTTTTTAATGAGTGTTAGGAAACGAATTATCTCAATAAACATAAAAGAAGCAATCACACACAACACAGATACACTCTCTTGCACGATTCAGCTGAGTAAATTATAAATTAGTTGTTTTAGTTTTAAAAAATAAATTAAATAATCTCTCTAGTAATCAATTATAACTTAATTCTTTTCATTCTTTCTCATTTTTTAATAAATAGAAAAAAAGTAAAAATGTGAAAATTGATGAGAAATTTTTTTTTAATAATAATATTTAATTAACCATGATTGTTGCTAGTCAAGAGACCAATTAATTAATTTTAAAATAAAAAGAATTATTTAACTCTTTTTACAAAATTAAAAAGACTAATTTATAATTTACTCTGATTCAACTAAACCTACCTCTATAGGCTAAGAGTAAAAGATTTCATTATTAAAAATTAATACAGGTTTGGAGACTCAATTCTAATCCTAAATATATACAATTCTACTATAAATGTTTGTCAATAAAAGAAACAAAATATATCAAATTTATAAAATATCCATAATACAGATGGGACTGGATTACCAAAACAAAAAAAAAAACCCATATTATGAGACTCCACCTCCAAACCTCTGGACTATCTAGTTGAAGCTTGTTCACCTACTATGCAAAAATATAAATCCTCAATCTTTTTATGTTTTTAAGTACATCCTAATCTTTAATTTATGACGATCAAGCGTGGTGATTTCCATGGTCTAACGAAAACAATAGAACTTGTTCACCTACCATACAAAAAATGGAAATAGTTCCACGTATCCTCTAAATCAAGGCTATAAATATCTTGTTCCGTAATCTTGCTTGAACTTCCACAAATTTTCTGTAACATTTAATCATATTTAATATAAGAAACTGTCGCCATATATAGTTTGTTGAATGAAGTTATTCTCTCACTTGAATGAACTTCGACAAATTTCTTGATAACAGTTGAGCACGTCTAAGATGCAATGATTACAAGATGCAAATGCCCCCCAGACTTTTAAAACATTCCAGAGCCCCCTTGTTTTGAGAAAAAAAAATTCCAATAAATTCTAATGAAATGTTCACTGCAAAACAATTATGTTACATTTTGGCCCTCTTAAACATTAAAATTAGAATACAATCCCCAGTAAGGAACCTAAGAGGTCAATCCCGTCTGTGAAGCATGAACATCCTTTTGAATTTAAGCGAAACATATTCGACGGTTTTATTGTAGCACCACTGGAACATGGTGCGAGGTAGTGTGAATAAAAACATAATAAATAAAAAACTGGAAACACCCATGCGCCGTGTTCCCCTTATCACCGGGATCTAGTCAATTAATAAATACTCCCAATTTGAGCCGTGTAAACCAATGTCAAAACGCGTACGTACCAGCAGGATTAGATATAGTCGCAATCTAGGGGCAATAGTCGTCTTTTCAAGACTGAAAACTCCGAACTGAAAGTGACCTTCATTCTTTAAGCAAAGACAAAAACTGTGATTTCAGCGCATAGAATTTCTCATTTCCCACAAATTTATTATCTCCTTACATTTTGATTTTTCTTTAAAATTAATTAAGTAA